CCTTGAAGATAATGTTGACCGAACTGCCTGTATCGATCAGAATGCGGCTAACTTCAACATCGTCGAGAAGTAGTTCGACGACGAGGGCGTCGTTATGCGGCTTATGCAACCCGATTGTGTCGGCCTCGGTAAATACCAAGGGTGTTCCCTTCGGCGGATCGTGCGGGATTTTGGGCGCACTGGCGGCCTGTCTACTGTATTATTTGATAGCCCGAACCGAATAGCTGCAAGCTTCAATAGCCCCCATTATCATGTTGACACGTTTCCTTGCTTTGGGAGCATGGTTTTCTTGTGCTCGGTCGTCGCGATTGCGTTTCTGTTGTTCGGGCAAAGCTAGCGGATTCGGTGGAGGCGGTGGTAACGCCGGTCAAGCTGGTGGAGTTGGTGGATCCTTGGCGATGGCGTTCTCGAGCTGTACGTTATTTGGTCGAGGCATGTTTGACCAACGGAGATCATCAATCGAGATTTGCCCACTGTTCCTTGGCGTGTTCGAGCGACGGAGATCGTCAACCGAGATTGGCCCCTTTCGGTATTGTCCGAGTAGATATTCTCGCAGGTGTCTGCATTCTTCGGTGCTATGTCCTTTACAGTTGTGGAATGCGCAGAACAAGGATTCGTCCTGATCGTCTTCGCCACAGACCCATTTATTGTTCCATTGTTTGGTTGGTTGTTGGATCGCATTAGCATAGAACTTCTTACGATTCTCGTACCCTCTGCTGTAGCCTGACTGTAGTTCGTTAGTTCTTGCTTTAGAACGTTCGGACTGCTTTGCCGAATAGTTTTGCTCATAAGCGGCCTCCTCTTCTTGTTCGGCGATGTAAGTATTAGCTCGGTGTAGTGCATCCTCTAACGCCTGTGGAGGGTTATGCGTGATCGCGCTTCGGAAGCTAGTCTTTATCCGAGCTCCTTTCTGAAGGCACAAGAGGGCGGCTTCATCGCTGATCGTATAGCGACAATCGTCTTAAAACGCTGGATGAAATCGCGTAGGCTCTCACTTGCTCCTTGGGCTATTTGCCAGAGCTCAGAATTCTTGGTGTTCTGCCCGATGAACATTGAGAAGTGTTTAATGAAGGCCGTCGTCAACTCCTTATAGTTATCTATCGAGTTCGCCTCAAGTCGTGAGAACCATTCGAGAGCCACTCCTCCCAGACTCTCCACAAACAGCTGACACTGAACCGCATCCCTCTCCTCGGCGGATTTGAACTGGTATCGATTCATGCAGATGCCGAACGATGTCAAAAAGTGCCGGGGGTCAGTATTGCCTTCATAGATCTTCATCTTAAGTTTCTCCATGTGTTTGACTGGTGTTCCTGCTATGCGCGGTGTAAAGGGTGTCTTTTGTGTTTCCTGAATGACGCGCTCGATCTCCGGAGCTGCGCTTGTTGCTTGATGTATTTTCGAGGTAATCTCGCGAAGTTGTGCCTTCATCGCTTCAAACTCAGCGTCACGACTTAGATCCGATGCTGGTGCGTTCGCTGATCCGACTGCGGTAGATCTCATAGTTCCGGCTGGGTCTCCGTCAGTATTGAGGTCGTCAATGATGTTCCGAACTCGAAGGGGAGTTCGTGCTTGACTGAGCTCGGCGATTTGTGCTGCCATCTGACTGAAACGTTCCTCGCTCATTTTGTTAATGGCCTCGAACTGAGCGTTGAACACTTGGAGCAATAGTTCAGTTCCAAAACCTCCTACGGCTACGGGAGTTTGGCCGACTTCAGTCCCCGCGTTTTCCCCAGGAATTCCTTCTCCTTGCTCTGCAGGGTTTTGGACGTTAGCGTTCTCTCCACCGAGAGGGTTTCCTTCCTCCTGAATGTTGGCTTGGTCCGTCATTGCTGATTCGATCTATCCGAAGTCCGATCTAAAACTGAAAATTCTGTTTAGGCCCCCTACCTGGCGCGCCAATTGTTGATAAGTGAATATCGACAAGGGGCAACACAGTAAACTCGGGTTTTATTGGATCGAATTGAAAGAGTACAACTGAGTTCGGTTATTAAGTAGAGAATAACGAACTAAGACTTTATGAAACTAGGAATCTAAAGTGGTGAGTTCTCAGTCTCTAAGTCTTCTCTGGAATATCTTGTGTCTTCCATTGTCGATTCCTCTTCCTTTATATATATCTTCTAAGTCGGTCATCGAGTACACCTTCTACGATATGGGACCGAGAGGACTTTCCTTTTCTCTCGGTCCTTTTCCTTTTCTCATAACAGTTTCCTTTTTCCATTCGGAAACTTTCTATTTTCACCAAACTCGGAAAAGACTTCCCAGTTCCTTCGAGAAGTTTCTAGCCGACCTCGGTTTAATGGGCTGCGCTCGGCCCAGTCTTCTCGGTACATTCCCTTCGTAAACCGGGCTTACGTCGTGCCGATCTCGGTTTTTACCGGAGAAAACCGGGGGTGCGGTTTTCACCTCCAACATTACTGATCTTACTTCAAGCAGTATCCTTCAGGGTAAACCGTGGCTAGTTATCGGAGATTTTAATCAAGTACTAGACCCGCTGGAGCATTCCCTGGCTGCCAGTATGAACGTTGATAAAAGAACAAGGGTCTTCAGGCAATGTTTGGTGGAGGCAGATTTACACGACCTTAACTTCAGGGGAAACACCTTTACATGGTGGAACAAGCGGAAATCTAGTCCTGTGGAAAAGAAAATAGATAGAATTCTGGTGAATGATTTTTAGTATAACTTCTTCCCTTCGGCTCTTGCGTCATTTGATAATCCTGACTTCTCTGATCATGCAGCTTGCACGGTTGCTTTGGATCCTTTCATGGAGAAGCCAAAAAAGCCGTTCAAATTCTTCAATTTGCTCCTTCACAACAAGGAGTTTGTGCCCTTTATTGCAGCAAACTGGTATTCTATAAATGTGGTGGGTTCCTTAATGTTTCAGGTATCTAAAAAACTCAAGATATTGAAGAAGGCAATCAGAGATTTCAGCAAAGATAACTACTCAGGGATCGAGAAAAGAACTCGTGAAGCTCATGACCTCTTGCTGCGGTCCCAAAATATGATGTTTGGGAATCCAACTCCAACCAATGCTGAGCGCGGGATGGCAGCTCTTGAGAAGTGGCAGGAGCTTGCCCAAGCCGAGGAATCATTCTTCCACCAACGTTCAAGCATTGCTTGGCTAGGATTGGGAGATAGCAATACAGCGTATTATCACAAAATGCTGTCAACGAGACAAGCTCTCAATCACATTCACTATCTCTTTGATGGAAATGGTGCTAAGATTGAAACGCAAAAGAACATCCAAGATTAGTGTGTTAGTTACTTCGCGGAGCTGCTTGGGTGTGATTCAGTGCCACCCGTTTTTGAGCAATGTGATTTGAATCTGCTCCTTCAGTTCACCTGCTCCCCTGATCAGAAAAGGAACCTGGTGAAGCCCTTTTCTACGGAGGACATAAGGAATGCATTTTTCTCACTGCCAAGAAACAAAACCAGTGGCCCAGATGGTTATTCTTCTGAATTTTTTACTGAGTGCTGGGATGTAGTAGGGCCTGAGGTCTCTGATGCAGTGGCTGAGTTTTTCACTTCTGGTAAGCTTCTTAAGCAATGGAACTCAACAACTCTAGTGCTTATCCCAAAGATTGCAAACGCCTCGTCGACTTCGGACTTTAGACCCATTTCTTGCTTGAACACGGTATACAAGGTCATCTCGAAACTCCTGGCAAATCGCTTAAAGGTTATCCTCCCTCTTGTTATATCCAACTCACAGACGGCCTTTATGACTGGTCGTTTGCTGGAGGAAAATATGCTTCTAGCTACAGACTTGGTTCAGGGCTACAATGCAAAAAGAAGAGATCCTAGAGCAATGCTTAAAGTTGACCTGAGGAAAGCTTTCGATTCAGTCCGTTGGGACTTCATCTTGGAAGTTCTTCGAGCCATTGGTTTGCCTGATCAATTTGTCAATTGGATTGCTGAGTGCATATCGACACCAATGTTCACTGTGTCCGTAAATGGTTCTACTGGTGGGTTTTTTAAAAGTACTAAGGGCAGCAGGCAGGGAAATCCGTTATCTCCCTACCTTTTCGTTCTAGCGATGGAAGTTTTATCGAGATTGCTGCTCTCCAGATATAAGTCGGGTTATATTTCCTACCATCCGAGAACTGCAGAGTTTAAAATATCACACCTTATGTTCGCCGACGACGTCATGGTGTTCTTTGATGGGAGTAGTTCTTCGCTTCATGGGATTACTAAATGTATGGCAGATTTTGCGAGTTGGTCTGGGTTGGAGATGAACATGAGCAAAACGGAGCTTTTTTATGCAGGTTTGAACCACCGGGAATCCAATGCTATCACCAGCTACAGTTTCCCGGTTGGTTCACTCCCCATCAGGTATCTCGGATTACCTCTGATGAGCCGTAAGGTTAAGATAAATGAGTATGAGCCGTTGCTTAATAAGATCACACTGAAGTTCAAGATGTGGGCTGTCAAATAGCTGTCATTTGCAGGCAGAGTTCAGTTGATTGGTTCGGTTATCTCTGAAGCAGTTAACTTTTGGATTTTAGCTTTTGTTCTGCCGAAGGGTTGTATCAGAAAGATCGAAGCTCTTTGTGCCAAGTTTCTATGGTCTGGAAATATTTAAAGGGTTAAAGGTGCAAAGGTTGCTTAGAGTATGGTTTGTCTTCCAAAATCTGAAGGTGGGCTCGGGCTTCGGAGTTATTCAGTATGGAACAGAGCTCTTTGCCTCAGGTTTATCTGGTTGTTATTCTCGGGATCGGATTCTCTGTGGGATCAATGGAACAGACGTGTTCACCTGTGAGACAAAAAGCTTTTGGGCGCTTAACGAATCCAACCGTGACTCTTGGACATGGAAGCAGATTCTAAAATTGAGACCTCTGGCGAGCAGTTTCTCCAAAGCGGTCCTCGGGAATGGTAAATGTATCCGATTCTGGTTTGATTGTTGGACCCCCTTTGGGAAATTGATTGAGTTTTCCGGCGATGGGGGGTCCTAGAAGTGCTCGTATCCTTTTGCACGCTCTGGTGATGAACGCGTGTAACGACCAGGGATGGATTTAGTGGATCTGAGGTCTGAAGAGGGCCTGCAGCTCCATGCGCATCTCTCCACAATCGCCCCTCCTACTTCTGAAGCTCCAGATGACTTTTTCGAATGGTCCGCCAATGGCATTTCAAGTGAGTTATACTCTTCCTCTCGCACCTGGGAGGTTCTCAGGCCAAGATCGGATAAAAAAGATTGGGCTGATTTGGTTTGGTTCAAAGTATCGGTCCTAAAGCACGCTTTCACGATGTGGGTTGCAAACCTTAACAGACTGCCCACAAGAGTTCGTCTTGCCTCTTGTGGTCTTCAGGTTCCATTGACTTGCTGTCTCTGTTCTACGCTAGAAGAAAACTGCGATCACCTGCTGCGTACTTGTGACTATAGTATAATCGTCTGGAAACTGGTTCTCGCGAGACTTAAGCCTCACCACCAGATGTTCCAATCTTGGATTAGACAATCCAATGCGAGTGCCCCTGCAGTCTTTAGAAAGCTGGCAGCTCAGGCGATTGTTTTCCAGCTATGGAAACAGAGAAACAACATTCTGCATAACAGTGAGGTGCGAAACACGATCTCTGCAAAAAAGACATAGGAAAGGCTTTGCTGATCTTATGTCCCTCTGGATTAGATGATCACTTTTGTATTGCTCCCAACTCTAGTTCTACCTTGTTTTTTATTATTTTTTTGCCAAGGTAGAAACAAACTCTAGATTTGCTGTCTGTAAATCTGCTTTCATTTATATGATATTTACATTTTAGCAAAAAAAAAAAAAAAATACAACAGTGAACCTAAACATTTCTAAAAAATAAACACTAACTACAGACTCTCCGATTACCATAATCTGAACAGGTATAGCAAAACACAATCCAAAAGGCTATTCTACAGAGAAAAGTAAGTGATTTTCCATCCTTTGCCATTTTTTAACCTAAGGCAGGACAATGTTATGTTTTGATGTGGAGTTTAGTCTCCTACAAGCACAACATATGAAAAACTTCCTCTTTAGACAAGATGCAGAGCATAGCAGCCATGTAATTTCAACAATGCTCACAATCCATTACCTGTCCAAGACTCCAAGACCAAGGTATACTGCAAGTTCCGCACAAGTTCTATTCACTTTGTCTCTTCGTCTTCTTTACTTTATGCTCTTATTCATTCATCACTCAAGCATATAGGTCTAGCACAAATCTGGTGTTTTCACCTTTCTCAGCATTTTGGGCTTCTTCGGTCTTTGGGATATGGGGCTACTGGGCTCTCTATGAAAATTTTTGTTCAAATTGGGTTTTAATTATCGTTTTCTATTGGGTTCAATTTTGGGTTACACTTTTCCTACCTTTTAAATTTAAGAAGAAAAAAAATTATTGAAAAAATGGAATAAATGAATGAGAATATGAAACGATTCGCAATTGTTGGGTCGGTTTTCACCCCAAGTAGATAAACCACCTCAGAATGGCTAAGTATGGAAGAAAGATAAGTGGGAGAACCGTGGTCGCCAAGTGGGAGAGCCGTGGTCGCCAAGTGGGAGAGCCGTGGTCGCCAAGTGGGAGAGCCGTTCTCACCATGACAAGTGGAGAGCCGTTCTCACCAAGACAAATGGGAGAGCCATGCAGATAGGCCAGTAGGGAGAACCGTGAAAGGAGACAGGTGGGCCGAGCCGCTCAAAAGAAATGGGCCGAGCCCCACTTCAACACGTTTGGGCCGAGCCGTGTATCGGTGCGGCGGGCTAGAACATGTCTCCATGGCAAGTGGGCCGAGCCGTAAAGAAGCTTGGACGGGCCGAACCAAAGCCTTGAGAGATGAAGCCCATGAAAAACCCTAGGCGAGATACAAAGGCGGTCAGCCGCACGAGGCGATAAGGAAATATTCCGAAAATCTCGCCCAAAATTTTCGGCTAGGCGGTTTAGAAAGTTAGTATAAATATATGATGTATGCAATTCATTCGGCCAACTTTGGAAACCCTAAGCAATAAGGACTAAACACTTTACAGCAATAAAAATCCTCTTTCAATCTTACTGTTTCTTGTGATTTTCCTAGAAGTTTCAGATCCCTTAGTTTCTCTTCACAAATCCTTGGTTGTGCGAGTTTTGGCTCACACAATTTGACGCCGACTGTGGGGACTCGAAACTTTCTTACTCAAAATCGACAAGACTTTAAGATCCGAAGAACATGGCGAGCAACACCCCCGACGACAACAACAACAACAACACCGGTAACGGCGCGGAGAAGGACGCTCCGGCATCGGGCACAACGACGGCAACGATCGAAACCCAAGAGGAGATGCGAAACATGATGGCTGCGTTGATAAAGAAAATCGACGAACAGGATAAAAGAAACGAGGCGATTACGGAGAGGCTCGACGCGATGGCGGCTGAGCGACTACACCCAACTTGGAGAGCCGGAATTCCCGACCCGATGGATGGAATCCGGAGACGCTTTGATTTCTCGACACCTGCAGAAGCCTCAGGGAGCGGCGCAAGAAACCCCTCAGCTCCTCCAATGTCTCGTCTCCTCGACGAACAGACCCCCGCGGCGACCCGAGTCAACATGACCGAGCCGCCCCCTCTCCGCCGAAACTCAAGGCGACGAGCCGGCGAAGAAGAAAACGATGCGACCGACGTAGACGCCCAGCAGAATGACGGAACCGCCAATCCGCAGCAAACTGGCTCGGCTCGGCGAATAAGTCAAGAAGACCTCGCCTCGGCACTAAACGGCATCCGAACTGACGAAGTTTCTGACCCGACTCGCGGCGACAATCCAACAGAGGAGGAAGAAAACCTCCAATGGATCGAGCAGGCAGAACGCGAAGACGAGCCGAGGAGAGAGGAGCGGGAACGACCCCCCCCCCAATCAAAGGGAATGACTCACACACAAACTCTCGAACTCAAAGAGCTGCGAGCCTCGATGGTTCGGACAGAAGCTGAAATACGCGCCATGAATTCCCAGGTGCACAACGCGACGAGCGCCGCGCCCGAAATCGACCGAATGCTTGAAGAAACTCAGAGAACCCCTTTCACTGCAAGAATCACGGAGGTCAGGATTCCCTAGCCGGGGAAGGTGAGAATCCCGTTCTACGAAGGGACAACCGACCCGAAAGCACACATCACAGCGTTTCGGATAGCAATGGAACGAGCCTTCACAAAGAACGCCGCTAAACTCACCGAGCGCGAAGTAGACGCCGGATACTGCCTGCTCTTTGTGGAGCATCTCAAGGGAGCCGCACTCGAGTGGTTTTCGAGGCAGGAACGAAATTCAATCGGCAATTTTCAACAGCTCTCCGCCTTGTTCCTTAAACAATACTCGATGTTTATGGACAGAAGAACATCCGATGCCGACCTGTGGACGCTATCCCAAGGACCGAACGAACCGCTTCGGGATTACATGGCAAGATTCAAGGCAGTCGAATCCAAAATAGAAGGGATAAGCGACAAGGCTGCGCTCGAGGCTCTGAAACGATCTTTGTGGTACAAATCCAAGTTCCGACGGGAGATGGCTCTCAACACGCCGCAAACAATTCAAGACGCTTTGCACCGATCGTCAGACTTCGTCGTAAACGAGGAGGAAATGAAAAACTTGGACGAGCAGTATGAAGCAACGAAAGCAGCAATCCGAAGCTCAATTTTGCCGCGCCCCGCGAAGAAGGGCAACCCATCCAGCAACACAACAACGCAGAGCTCGGATGAACCTAAAAGCGGAGGTGCCCATAACTACCAGGTAGGCACCGGACGCGGAAGAGGAGAGCCGCGCAACAACACTTGGGTGAGAAAGTCCGCCAACTACGACGAGAAAGCTTTCTGCGAGTATCACCAGACGTACGGGCACTCAACGGCTCAATGCCAAACCTTAGGAGCAAAGCTCGCAGGAAAGATGACAGCGGGAGAGCTCCAAAACGCAGTCAGCCTCAAAGACCTCGTCCCTAACGAACAACAAGAGAGAGCCGAGCCGAGCGGCACGACAAAACCTGCGAATCCTCCCCGACGAGGCGATAACCCCAAGCGCGACAGGAGAGGCGAACCCGAAGAGCGACCCGAGCCGAGGCAAAGGATTAATATGATCATGGGTGGATCCCAATACTACCAAGATACCGTGTCCTCCATCAAAGCCTATCAGCGCCGAGCCGAAGCAAAGGAGAATTGGACAGAACCAACTGACATCCCGAACACAGTGATCTCCTTCGCCGAGGAGGAAACGGCAGGAATCGATCGACCTCATAACGATCCGTTGGTGATCGAGCTAACGATCAGGGATCATGATGTAGCAAGAGTGCTCATCGATACTGGAAGCTCAGTGAACATCATCTTCAGGGAAATAATCAGAAGAATGGGAATCGACCTCTCCGAGGTGGAAGCAATCCCCAAACCTCTAACTGGATTTTCAGGGGAAACGATCAGGCTTCCTGTGGTAGCTGGCGGAGTCACTAAGATCGTCGAATTCTGCGTCACTGATCACCCAGCAATCTACAATGTGATCATGGGAACTCCGTGGATCAACGGGATGAGGGTGGTACCCTCTACCTATCATCTCTACCTCAAATTCCCAACTCCAGCAGGTGTTAAAACGATCTGGGGGATTCAGAAGGAGTCACGAATGTGCTGCCTAGCCGAGCACAAGCTGAGGAACCCCGTCACCCGACGCACGAGCAGACATCAATCGCAAAAAGATGAAGACAAACCGAGAGCCCGCGAACGAGCTCTCGAAACTCTTATAGCAATTACAGATCGTAGAGAGCCGCGAAACACGCGCTGAGCCGGTATGTGACGCGGTGGACTCGGTGTGCATAGACGAGGCGCGCCCGAAGTGATGCGTCGAAGTAGGAACAAAACTGGAAGAGCCTCTGAGAAGTGAACTCCTTTCCCTCCTCAAGGAAAACATCAACACTTTCGCCTGGACAGCGGAAGATATGCCAGGCATAAGCATCGACGTGACCTGTCACGAGTTGAATGTGGAACCGACCTTTAAACCAGTCAAGCAGAAAAGAAGGAAGCTTGGTCCCGAACGAGCTAAAGCAGTTAACGATGAGGTCGAAAGGTTACTCAAAGTAGGATCAATCGCCGAGGCCAAATATCCGGACTGGCTCGCAAATCCGGTGGTTGTGAAGAAGAAGAACGGCAAGTGGCGAGTATGTGTGGATTTTACCGACCTCAACAAGGCGTGCCCGAAAGACAGCTTTCCCTTGCCACACATTGACCGGCTCGTCGAAGCCACTACAGGGAATAGACTGTTAACATTTATGGACGCGTTCTCCGGCTACAATCAGATCCTGATGCATCCTGATGATCGGGAAAAAACGGCATTCATAACTGATCGCGGGATATACTGCTACAAAGTCATGCCGTTCGGGCTCAAGAACGCAGGGGCAACGTATCAACGGCTCGTCAACAAAATGTTCGCGGCTCAGCTCGGAAAAACCATGGAAGTATACATCGACGACATGTTAGTCAAATCACTCAAGGAGGAAGACCACGTCGCTCATCTACGGGAATGCTTCGAGCAACTGAACAAGCACAACATGAAATTAAACCCGGCGAAGTGCAGATTCCCTGTCACTTCGGGAGAATTCCTCGGCTATCTGGTAACTCACCGAGGCATAGAAGCAAACCCCAAGCAGATCAAGGCATTGATTGAGATGCCCTCTCCAAGGACAAAGCGCGAAGTGCAAAGGCTCACGGGAAGAGTCGCCGCGCTAAACAGGTTCATTTCCCGCTCCACAGACAAGTGCCTGCCCTTCTACGACACCCTCCGAGGAAAAAAGAAATTTGAGTGGGACGAGCGATGCGAAGCAGCTTTCCAGGAGTTGAAAAATTATCTGGCGAGCCCACCAATCTTAGCAAAACCAGTCGAAGGAGAGCCGCTCTTCCTCTACATCGCAGTATCTCCCACAGCTGTAAGCAGAGTGCTTATCAGAGAAGAGCGATCCGAGCAAAAGCCCATCTTCTACATCAGCCAGACATTGACCGACGCCGAGACTCGCTACCCTCAGATCGAGAAGGTTGCCCTAGCCGTCAGCTCGCAAAATGCGCCCGTACTTTCAATCACATTCGATTGTTGTGCTCGCTATGCTTCCTCTACGCTCGATCCTACACAGCCCTAGCCAATCCGGTCGGCTCGCCAAGTGCGATAGAACTAAGCGTATACGACATCGAGTATCAGAACAGGTCGTCTGTAAAGTCACAGGTGCTCGCAGATTTCCTCATTGAACTTCCCGCCGAAGCAACAAACAAGCCGACTCTAGATGAAGTGTGGACGCTGCACGTCGACGGCTCGTCGTCTAAACATGGCTCGGGAATAGGAATCCGCCTCACCTCTCCCACCGGAGAAATATTGGAGCAGTCTTTTCGCCTGAACTTCCACGCCTCGAACAACGAAGCGGAATACGAAGCACTGATCGCCGGCATACGGCTAGCGCAGGGAATCGGAGTTCGAAAGATAAGAATCTTTTGCGATTCACAGCTCGTAGCATGTCAGTTCAACGGAGAATACGAGGCGAAGGATGGACGTATTGGAGCTTACCTCAAAGTGATCCGAGAGTTGGTGCAAAACTTTGATGAGTTCGAACTCACGCGCATTCCCCGAGGAGAAAACACCTCGGCCGACGCCTTGGCAGCACTCGCTTCGACCTCGGACCCAGACCTCCGACGAACGATCCCAGTTGAATTCATCGAACGTCCTAGCATCGAAGAGGTGGAAGGAGTTGGGCTGATAAATCCTCCCGAACAAGAACCAGTGGACGACGAAGCCATTCCTATGGACGAAGACGCCTCACCGGCCGAGCTGGAGTACGGCTGCGACAAAGAATGGCTCGGAGCTATCCGAATGTATATCGCCGATGGAGAGTTGCCAACCGACAAATAGGAAGCCCGCAAACTAAAAGCTCAGGCCGCACGTTATGTCCTCGTCGATGGCGAGGTGTTTAAATGGAGATTTTCAGGGCCTCTCATGACATGCGTCGAAGGACCGGAAGCAAGAAAGATCATGCACGAGGTGCACAGCGGCGCGTGCGGTAACCACTCCAGCGGAAGGTCGCTCGCTATCAAGATAAAACGGCACGGCTACTTCTGGCCCACGATGGTCAAGGACTGCGAGAAATTTACGGCAAAGTGCGAAAAGTATCAGCGGCACGCTCCAACAATTCATCAACCTACCGAGTTGCTCTCTTCAATTTCGTCGCCTTATCCGTTCATGAGATGGTCGATGGACATCGTCGGACCTCTACATCGCTCGAAGCAGAAGCGTTTTCTGCTCGTCCTCACGGATTACTTCTCCAAGTGGATCGAGGCCGATTCTTACGCAAGCATAAAGGATGTTCAAGTCGAACACTTCGTCTGGAAAAATATCATCTGCCGACACGGGGTCCCTTACGAGATAGTCACCGACAACGGATCCCAGTTCATCTCAACACGCTTCGAAGCCTTCTGCGAGAAGTGGAAAATCTGCCTCAGCAAATCTACGCCAAGATACCCTCAAGGGAACGGACAACCCGGTTTACTATCGCACACGAGAATATAAGTCGAGACTACATCGCTTTCTCTAAAACCGAAGTAAAACTCTTAAACCCGGATAAACATACTCGTCCTCTCGAGAACACCGGTCCATGGACAGGTTTGATAACACTTCATCCTTGGCTAACAAAAGCAAAACGCCTCGTCGTTTTCACGGCTCGGCACCATTCGAAACAAAAACGCCTCGTCGTTGTCACGGCTCGACACCATTAAAAACAAAACAAAAACGCCTCGTCGTTTTCACGGCTCGGCACCATTCAAAACAAAAATGCCTCGTCGTTTACACGGCTCGGCAACATTCAAAGCGAAAACGCCTCACCGTAAACACGGCTCGGCATTACCAGCAAAGATTGGCCTAAACATTATCACGTAACACTCTTTTACTATCAAAGATTTGCCTAGAACCTAAACGAGATCCTTAAAACAATTCATCCCTTAGCCCATGTTTCGGTCAATTTCGAAAATACAGTTAAGGAAGAAATCAAAATCGCTCTCAACATAACAGCATTCGTCCTTGACAATTTTTCGTAAACATTTTTACGGATTAATGGACAAGTAAGTTCGAAAACGGCTAAGGAAAATATATTCATTAAGCGAAAATAAAGAGTCGGGTGGATAAAGCCGTCCAGGCACAAAACACATAAAAGTTCAAAAGAGAGCGGATAAAATCCTAAGTACAGAAGCAAGTAAGAAAAATTTGTGAGCCAAAACTCATGCCGCGGACTGCGTTTCACGATCGGCGAGAAGGTTCGAGGGAATCGGCGTACCCGCGTTCGAGCCGTTCGGGTCCACAACGCCTAAATTGGCCACTGTTTCTTCGAGCGGCTCGTTGCCGAGGGTGGTGTCGACCGAGTCCAGCAATACTGGAGAGTAATACAGTTCGCCCCGAATCTCGGAAGCAATACGCTCGTACGCCTCGTCGTCGGCATACTCACTCTCCCAGCTTTTCAGCTTCGCCTCCTCGCCGTCAAGCGTCGGAGCGTCCGGCTTCTTCAGGTCAGCAACCATCGCAAGATTGCCCTTGATCTGTCCCAGATCGCTCTCATCATTTTTGGCCTTCTCGAGCTTGACCAAACCCTCCTCCACCTTGGCGAGGCGTTCCTGAAACTTCGCCGTCAGCTCGCGCCTCACCTCTTTCTTCGCGTGTTTGACCTTGGCTTCGAACAGCGTGTCCTTGGCCTCGATACGCCTTTTAAGCAATGCCACCTCGGCGCTTTTGGCTCTCCTTGCTTCCTCCAGGCGAATCACCGAGGCGGAAACTTTGTTGACGTCTGCTCGGAGAACTATCTTCTCTTCTTCCAACCCTGACACTCGGGTCATCGCCTCGGTGAGTTTCCCCTTTGCTGATGCGGCTTCGTTTTGCGCCTCTTCCAGCTTCACCTTTGACGCTGCGGTCTCATTTCGGGCCTCGTCCAAGCGACGTTCGACCTTAGACAGGTCCGCCTCATACTCGGACATCAGGTCGCTAATGGCCGCGACAAACTGCAAAGAACAAACTCGCGTTAAACACTTAGCAAAAGTTTACGAAAATAAAGGAAAGCGAATAGAAACGTACCTTGGTAACACGCTGCGCCATCGCGCCGTATGACCTCGGCCTCCTCAGCTTCTCCGGAGGAGGAAGACGCGTGTTCCCATTATTTACACGCGAGAACATGACGGAAGAAGCGTCGGGGTCGTCAACAACCAATTTACGCGCGGCAGGGTCCCCGGGTGTCGGTTTCCGCCTCTTCTTAGACGGCTCGTCCTTTTGGACGACGACACCTTTCCCCTTGTCAGTAGCCGAACGTTTTCGGCTAGAGCCATGCTTCTGGACGACCGAAGTCGGTGGCCTCGTCGACTTCGGGAGGGCCAGGATGGCGGATTGCGAGGGAGACTTACTCCGTGCTGCCGAGCCGTCCCCGGACACCTCGGGGATAATTTTGCCCGGTTCTACCTCGGGCACTACATCTTTCTCAGCCGCCTCGGCAGTGTCGCCTTCTGCGGCTCGGATCATCACATCCCCTTCCTGGTTGGAGGGTCGGGTTGAAGGATGGCCTCGGTTTGCGCTGAGACCGCCTCGGCTAGCGCCAGAACCGCCTCGGTTTGCGCGCGAGCTGCCTCGGCAGCTCGTCTAGCGGCTTCCTCTTCCTCGCGCCTCTTCCTTTCTCTAAGGGCGATTACCACCATCTTCTCCCGGGTGTCTCACGAAGAACTTGAGGACGAAGAACTGACGGGGACTCCGGCAAGGATGGCTCGCGCTTTTTCTACTCTTTCGAGGGTGAAGTTTTTTCTCCAATTAACCTTCCGCGCCGAAAGAGAATCTCGAACAGTAAAGAGGTCGTCGGGAATCAGGGGAAGATAGCAACGAACTGCAAAACAAAGCAAAAAAGCAAAAGTTTCAGAAAAGGAAGAGAATATCAACTGAATCTCCGAGCCGAGGCAAAGCTTCGGGTCGGCTACCAAGTGGTCCCCAAGCGGTTTTGGTTCGGTAAACGTAATCTTCGCCGACCGACGCCTCGTTCACCAAGACGTAGAAGAAGCGTTCAGTCCAAAACTGGTCCTTGCTGGGAAAACCGCCAATAATCCGTCGCTTTGCCTTGTTGGAAATATAGAACCTATTTCCTTTCGGAGCTTTCCTGATTTCCAGCAAGTTCAGCAGGTGATTCAGCTCGATGTCAAGACCGCATTCGAAGCTTCGGACTAAAATGCCGATCATATGCCGTAATCCCCTCGGCATAATCTGCCCAATCGAGATCCTGTGTTTCCAAAGGTATTCGAGGATCACTCCGGGGATCAGGAACCAGAGAAAGCAAAGCTCGAAGAACGCATCGTACAGAGTGAAGTGATTCTCTGGAGGCTTGTCGGCTCGGTCGCTCTTCTCGGGAACGACAAACTCCACCGCCTCGGATATCCTGAAGCGATGCCACAACGCCTCGAGCGACTCAAGGGAAGAAAGCGTAGAGCCAGGCGGATCAGGCTTTTGTCTTTTAACTCATGGCCCTCGCCCAGATGTAGAAGCGCCTCGGGACGCCATGAGACGTTCCAACTCGTACTTCGCCTCGAGTAGGTCAAAGGGAAATGCTTCCTCCTCGGCTTTTACTATGGCGCGATTAACACCTTCATCAGGAACCGGGTCCTGGGGACGGCTCGTCGAAGCCAACGGCTCGTCATCTGCAGAACCCTCGTTTGATGGATTCGCGTCATTCGACGCCTCGTCAGATGAACGATTGGAAGGGTTCGGCGAAACAGACACCTCGGAGGATTCTGTTGAACTTCTCGCCTCGGCATCTACGCGGCTCGGCTCGTAATGAAAAAGCGAGTCCAACGAATCGTCGGAGTGGCTCGACATGATTTACAAGTTATACAAGAATTACAGAAGGACTCGGCGAACCTCTACCAGAAAAAGATCTGGGACGGCGGAGACCTCGGAAACCCTAGCCGGAAAATAAATAAACTAGAGAGAGAAAGAAGAGAGAAGGGAGAGCTACCTTTAGTAAAAACGAGTGAGTCTGAAGATAATGAGAAAGAGTGAAGGAGCTCACCTATTTATAGAAAAAACAAAGCGCGTGAATTCCGCGTAGACCTCGGGAAGCCGTCCAACAACGCGTGGGATCTGCGGTGAACTGGCTATACCGGACCGCGTCGTTGGCACGCGCCAAAAGAGCGGGAATTTCCTCTCGGAAGACCAACAGTCAGGGTACCCAGGTTAACAAAACGGCTTGGTATTGACTCTTTCCCTCTTGAAACGCCTTGTCGTTAACGAAATGGCTCGGCATTGAATATATTCTCTTGAAACGCCTCGTCGTTAACGAAACAGCTCGGTATTGACTCTTTCTCTCTTGAATCGCCTCCTCGTTAACGGAACGGCTCGGTATTGAATCTGTTCTCTTGAAACGCCTTGTCGTTAACGAAACGGCTCGGCGTTGAATCTGTTTCTTGAAACGCCTCGTCGTTAACGAAACGGCTCGGCATTGACATTCTTTCTTGAGACGCCTTGCCGCTAACAAAACAGCTCGGTACGAGCTTTCTCTCGAAACGCCTCGCCATTTGTTCGGCTCGGCATAACCTCCTCAAATCACCTCGTCATGGGCTATCACTATTTAAAAAAAAAAAAAAATCGCCTCGTCCTTAATCCTGCCTCGGCATCTTCGGTACCATCTCGAACACCTCGGTATCCTCGGCACTCCTTGGGAACGCCTCGGCGTCTTCATTCCCAAAACGCCTCGGCGCCTTCATTCCCAGAACGCCTCGGCGTCTTCATTCCCAAAACGCCTCGGCGCCTTCATTTCCAGATCGCCTCGGCGTCTTCATTCCCAAAACGCCTCGGCGTCTAATTCAGTGGTTTATCCTACGGTCGGAAATAATGGACCTCGTCACTCTCGTCTCCGAAACTGACGAGCTGGGGGGCTAACTGTTGGGGTCGGTTTTCACCCCAAGTAGATAAACCACCTCAGAATGGCTAAGTATGGAAGAAAGATAGCCGTGGTCGCCAAGTGGGAGAGCCGTGGTCGCCAAGTGGGAGAGCCGTTCTCACCAAGACAAGTGGAGAGCCGTTCTCACCAAGACAAATGGGAGAGCCGTGCAGATAGGCCAGTAGGGAGAGCCGTGAAAGGAGACAGGTGGGCCGAGCCGCATCAAAAGAAATGGGCCGAGCCCCACTTCAACACGTTTGGGCCGAGCCGTGTATCGGTGCGGCGGACTAGAACATGTCTCCATGGCAAGTGGGCCGAGCCGTAAAGAAGCTTGGACGGGCCGAACCAAAGCCTTGAGAGATGAAGCCCATGAAAAACCCTAGGCGAGATACAAAGGCGGTCAGCCGCACGAGGCGATAAGGAAATATTCCGAAAATCTCGCCCGAGATTTTCGGCTAGGCGGTTTAGAAAGTTAGTATAAATATATGATTTATGCAATTCATTCCGCCAACTTTGGCAACCCTAAGCAATAAGGACTAAACACTTTACAGCAATAAAAATCCTCTTTCGATCTTACTGTTTCTTGCGATTACCCTAAAACTTTCAGATCCCTTAGTTTCTCTTCACAAATTCTTGGTTGTACGAGTTTTGGCTCACACAGCAATCCTCTGGTCTTGGTAATCAAACTTGGACGCCTTTAAAGCTGTGTCTCTGCACTTGTTTGATCAAACGAAGCGACTGAGAGAAGTATGCAACTCTACTCTTTCATCACGTTGACTCTATTCATTTTGTCAAATGTGGTAACTTGTGAAAGAAAGTAATCTGATTACGATGAATTAAAGTAAAATGTTCCGTAGTGTAGTAGTCTCAATATATTATATATTTTGGTTTTGTTTCTTGATATCGCTGTTTGATTGTTTGAGTTGCAAATTTGATTGTTTAGGAGTCATTATCAAGATCCATGGAGAATCAAACTGATAAGAAGTTCATTTGGGTCAGTTGGGTAATTAAGAACTTCTCCTCTTTGAAATCTGAAAATGTATATTCTCATCAATTCGAGGTTGGTAGCTGCAAATGGTAAGAAGAGAAATTGCCTACTAATGTTTTTTTTACTTCCAAATTAGATTTTACTTTTACAGGATAATCTCTTTCGTTTGCTGATTGTTATCTTATGTTTTTTCTTTTGCTTGCAGGCGTCTTGCGGCCTATCCCAAAGGATATAATAAGGATAATCATTTCTGTCTGTATTTACACGTTGCTGATTCTGAAATTTTGCCCATTGGATGGAAAAGACACGCTAAATTTTCCTTTACTATAGTAAATCAATTCTCCGATAAACTGTCCAAGCTTAGAGGTGATTGTTTCTTGATGATTCATATTTATTTGTTGGGCTGATGCGAGATTTTGATTTCTATATTGTTTGTATGTATAGATTAATTAATGTATCTCGTGTGATATCGTCATGTTTTATTCAGAAATGCAAATCATGAGATGAATTATCGTTTGTGATTTTGCAGAAAGTCAAAAGTGGTTTGATCAGAAGAGTCCTAGCTGGGGGTTTCCACAAATGATTACCCTTACCGAACATAATGCCAAAGAAGGATTTCTGGTGAATGATGAACTCATTATTGTTGCCAAAGTTGATGTTCTTGAAGTTGTAGGTAAATTAGACGTATCAGAGGAATCTTCACCAGTAAATGACACCATATATGTCAAAGGGTTTCAAGTCCTTCCTTCACAGGTCAGAAATATGTTATGAGAAATACAAAAGTTCTTGTTGTTTTTTAGAAATTTCTACCAAAATAGACGCCATCATGTGTTGTACAAGATGTGTTATTTTGTTTGTACTTAAGTAAAGGGAAAATACTTTCCAACACATAGAAAGTGAAAGAATAAATCGTGAAAAGTTATTTTCTTGATATAGACATATAGTTGCAGGCTCAACTCTCAAGAGCTCAAGATATCGTTTTGGTGCCTATTACGTACGCTATGGTTTTACTTTATACAATACTCATTTTCCATTTGCAGGTAGAATCTGTGAACCGTTTGTTTGAAAAACACCAAGATATTGCATCAAAATTTCGTCCAAAGAATCCATTCCTGAAGACGGCGTACATGAGTCTCCTCCTAAGCTTAACACAGGTGTTGTGTCAATCGCCTCAGAAAATCTCCGAAGATGATCTGGCAGAGCAGTATGCTGCTCTGGCATACCTGACAGATGCAGGGTTTGAGTTGGGCTGGTTGGAGAAGAAACTTGATGAAGTAAAAGAAAAGAAGAGTAAAGAGGAGGCTTGTTTGGCACGGCTACAAGAAATGGAGGAACAACTTAAGCCATTGAAGCAGAAGTGCTCAGTCGTCGAAGCTGACATGGATAAGGGGAAGGTTGAGTTGTTGGCAGCTAGAGCTCCTGTCTCCTTGTATGATGACGATGTTGTCTGAAACTTTGAATTCCTAGGAACATTTAGGTTCTGCTAAGTGTTGTCGTTTGTATGCTCGCGCGTCTTGATTTTTAAGTGAGAGCTCTTTTAAATTTAAGAAGAGAGACTTATAAAGGATGCTCCCACATTGTGACAGGAATGAGGAACCAATGGCTTTATCCAATTCCTTTGGTTTACCCGTATTTTTTCTTGGTTGAGCTAATTCAATTGCGGTTTAGTTAATTTGCTTTGTAATTTAAGGATCAGGATCATTTGTGAAGAGTGGTTTTTGGATAATACTGCGTGAGTTTGTGTTTATTATTAGCATCCAATTTAAGTAATAAGACTTTCGTAGGGAAAGCTTGTATGTACGTAAGGGTTTGTATTCGAATGATTTTGTAGAGACTTGTACTGGAGGCTTCCACATTTTCTAAAAAAGTATTTTGTAGAAAATTGATGTCGTATCAAATCACGATGGGCCAGAGTTATTTACATTCGCTAGTCGCTATCTCTGTAACAAGAAGACAAAATTCTGTGACCGACACTGTACCTGCCATAATTTTTTTTTTTTTTGGATGAATGTTAAATTGTATTCAAACCCGAAAAAAAATAGCGTTTCTACATAGTGAATGCGAGCTGTTTATGTAAAAGACAAAGCAGTAAAAGATTACAAAGCTTCGATCATGTTTTTGGTCTTGTTGCAAACCAGAGTTGCAGACCTTCTTCGTAATGAGAGTCTCCCAGCAATCGGATGGCACTCAATTGATTCCTGATACCTTTTTCAATGACCCTTATTAGTGTTGCAGCAGACGTTGTGCTTCCTCCATGCCGTCTTTCATTCCGTTCTCTCCATAGTCTATAAACAGTAGATTGAAACAAATATCGAATGATGAAAGTTTTGATTCGAGTTTGGTAAGAAGTCGAGATGATCCTCACCAAATCCGTCCATTCCACCGTGAAATCCTGAAGCAAAACTCCTCTTGCCAAATTTGACCACACCTGCTTTGAGTAAGGGCATGAGAAGAAAAGATGGCTGCGTGTTTTCAATTGAGCATTGCATAGAATACAGCCAGTGGGAATGTTGGCATTCCAATGTTGCATTCTATCACCAGTACTATGTCTGTCTAACAGGGCAAGCCAGGAGATAAACCCGAATTTGGGGCAGTGGTGAGAAAACCAAATCCCTTTAGCCCAAAGGACTTTTTGAGATGAGGTTCGCACCAAATCCCTCGTAGCTCGAGTGCTGAAAGTTCGTTTATAGTCATTTTCGGTGACTCTCCAGAGATATGTATCCTCAGCGTCAACTTGGTATCGAGTCTTAGCGTGTTCTATTTCATCTTCCACCTTATTCAGTATCGGGTATCTGTGTCTTCGCCTTCTATGATTGAAAAAAACGTCATGCAGAGTCGATGTCTCATCTATTCCCAGGTCAATGAATCCCCTGGGACCTAACAATGTCAACAATTGCCCCATCGATGACCATCTATCGAACCAGAATAGAGCTTTTCCACCATTTCCAGTCTGTACCTTTATGAAATTTGCAGCCATGTCTCTCATTTTCAGAATTTCCTTCCAAATCCACAAACCAGATGCATAGCTCGAACCAGATCTTGGTGTTAACCAGATTGAGTTGTGCTGCATTCTGTTTGCTGAAATCCATCTAACCCACAGAGATGCTTTTGCAGTGATCATACGCCAAAAAAGTTTGAGCTGGGCAACAGTGTTGACGTCTCTCAGATATTTAAGACCCAAACCCCCCTCGTCCTTGGGTCTACATACGTCGCACCAAGACACTTTTGCTTTCCTGGGGTTTAATCGCGGTCCCGACCAAAGGAGAGAAGAACAGAGACTTTCGATCTTTTCAATGCATTCACTTGGTAATTTGTAAACAGACGTCCAAAAATTGGTAAGCCCAGCAATGACAGAAGACAACAATTGCAATCGACCTGCAAAAGATAAGCTCCTAGCTGTCCAAGAGTGCATTTTACTTCTTATTTTATCGATCAAAGGGGTATAATCAAGAGACCACATTTTCTTCGTCAGCAACGGTAGCCCCAAGTAGCGAACCAGCAAAGAGCCGAAATCAAAAGCAAACCTTTGAGCTATACTATCCCGAACGTTCGCAGAAGCACCAGCGAGGTAAAGAGTAGACTTCTCCAGGCTGATACGAAGCCCAGAAATGCTTGCAAACTCATCGAATACCTTTACTATTCCCTCCACCGATCGTGTTTTCCCATCCGAGAAAACCAGCAAGTCATCCGCAAAACAGAGATGTGTCATCTGTAGATTCGAGCATTTTGGATGAAACCCGAATTGCCCTTGAGCAGCCGCTTTGTCCAAAAGTCTAGAAAGCACCTCCATACAAATCACAAACAGGTAAGGCGACAATGAACACCCTTGTCGCAAACCTCGCGTGCTACCGAAATAGCCAGCTAGCTCACCATTTACTTGAACAGAGAACGAAGCAGTGGCTATGCAGAGCCTAATCCAGTGAATGAACCTTTCAGGTAAGTTCAGCGCCTTCAGTATGTTGAGCAAAAAACCCCATTGAACCGTATCAAAAGCTTTCGAAATATCTATTTTGATAGCACATCTTGGGGAGATGAGTTCCTTGTGGTAACCCGCAACTAGCTCCGATGCTAGTAACACATTTTCAATCAGTAATCGATCCTCAACAAAAGCAGACTGACTGGGAGATATGAATCGAGGAAGAAGAGTCTTTAAGCGATTAGCCAGAATTTTCGGGATCAGCTTATAAATCTCATTGCAACAAGCTATCGGCCGAAAATCTTTCATCTGTTTAGCCCCATCCTTTTTTGGAATTAAAGCGAGGATGGTTGAATTAATTCCCTTAGGCAGAAATCCTTTAATGAAAAAAGACTGAATGCCAATCACAAGATCTTTACCGATAATGGACCAGGCCTCCTTGAAAAATTCCACAGTGTATCCATCTGGTCCCGGCGACTTGTTTGTTGCCATTTTAAACAGCACCTCCATGGACAGGTTTGATAACACTTCATCCTTGGCTAACACTTCATCGTGCAGTGAAGATTTACCCAACGCATACGTCTGTATACAGGTGAACTATAATGGTTTCGCATATCCTCCCATAAAGTCCTCCTGTCGTCAGAAAAATTGGAGCCATAGACAAAAGAACATAGAAACTCATCCTCTGCTCCCAGCTCTTTAACCAATACCGTCACCATCTGGTCACTTTATACACAGGGGTGAGCCTCACACCCTCACTCCAGACCACCCAAATCCTCCCCAACCGATGGTATTCATAGTTACTTATGAGCGACCATCCAGGAAATGTCTCCGCTACGATCTCCATTGCCTTATTCTCTGTAACCCGAGTTTCTATCAATGCACCAAAAGAAAAATCCTTCTCTCTACACCAGTCCTTCACAATTTTTTGTTTTCTTTTTTTGTTGAATCCTCTGATATTCCAAAAAAATCCAGACATTAATGATTATTTTTCTTTCGGGGTTTACTCTTCTTCTTCGAACTCGATCCTGGGTTAGGTGTCGAACTAGAAGCAGCTTTTATGAACTTGTGCGTCGTTTTCGATCCTCGAGGTAGAGGAATTCGAGCCACAGCAGTTGTCTCTCCCTTCAAGTTACCCTTCTCAACTCTTCCATCTTGTTTCTCTGATTTCTCGTCATCCTCTGTCTCGACCACTGTGTTGACAGTTTCTTCTGTCTGCTCACTGTCACTTAAAAGAGAAGCAAACCTCGACGGTGAAATGACTTCATCCAACTCGGCGGCTTCTTCCCCTTTTTTACCGTGGCTTCTCGATTTTGCAGGTGATTTAATGATGAGGTAGCAAAGTTAAAGGACGTTGAAAGTGGCGGGAGAAGATCGACGAGGGTGATTAGACCGAATCCAAAATATTTGGACTAAGTCTTCTCAAGGTTTATTTCCTTTATTTTAGCTAATAACTAAGTCTTCTTTGACTCCTAAACTGTAGGACCAGAGTAAGCACGTTGTAATTCAAATTGATGCAGTTTGTTTCCAAGTTTGTAGGAACGACAGTTCCATTTGCTTCTATAAAAAAAGGAAAAGCCAGAAAGAATAAAGGCAGATTGAATTTGCCAACAAAACTCTTGTGTACTTATTGTTTACAGTATTGATTTCTCATATTGTCTACAATCTCTTGGCTTCTGAAGAGGGACCGCATCAACGTGGTATCAGAGCATCCTATCCCAAAATTTTTTTTATAAACACAGTACACAATTACTCGACGACGATCTAAACGTATCTCAAAACAGGTTGCAGCCATGGCGAGTACCAAAGATCGATTGGAAGGGTTGGAGACAAGTTCTGGAATGATGCAAGACGAGATGCAAAGAATGTCAACCGCGATGGTGGACATGAAAGGAGAACTTGATGACAAATTCCGGAAAATGGAGGAGAACTTTACCCGTTTGATGGAGGCCGTCACGAGCAGTCGCGATGACGGAGGATCCAATGCCTCGCGGGGCAGTCGACGACCGGAGCATACTCCACCAAACACCGGTAATGCGCGGGGAGATCAAGTTAATCCCTTCGCACCGATCACCAGCCGACGCGTAAAACTCGAGTTCCCACGATTCTCAGGAGGAGATCCGACCGAATGGGTGAGCAAGGTCAAACAATTCTTCGAGTATCAAGAGATGGCCCCGGAGCAGCACGTCAGTTTCACTTCATTCCATCTGGATGGAGTTGCGAATGAATGGTGGCAGGCGATCTCAAAAGCTCTGCGGGAGGACCAGGTGGAGATCACGTGGGAAGTGTTTGAAGAAGAGCTGTGGGCCAGATTCGGCCCCACAGACGGTGAAGATTTCCACGAAGCACTCTCCCGAGTCCGCCAAACTGGGTCTTTAAGTGATTATCAGCAGGAGTTTGAAAGATTGCAAAACAAGGTACGCGGTTGGTCACAGCAAGCATTAGTGGGAACATTCATGGGTGGACTTCAACCAGAAATTGCCGATGGCATCAGGATGTTCCGTCCCAAAACCTTGAAAGAGATAATCAATTATGTGCGATTGATGGATGGCCAATTGCAGAGGCTAAAACGGATGAGCCCATCCAAACCAGCATTCAGATCTTTCACTCCATCACGACCTATGACCACTCGGGAACCTCAAACACCAACGCAAGGACCAAAGAAACTAAGTTGGGAAGAGTTAAAGAAGAAGCGTAGCCTTGGTCTTT